GGCGCTCGTCGGGATCCAACAGTACAACAGCCCCTCCATAAACCATTTGATTCCGACGGAGATTATGTAGTAGAGGCCGCCTGACGTATAGCCCCACCAGATATATAAAATGCCATCAAGGGCGTCCGTGTCGTCCAATTCCCTCGCTCAACCTCAACAAAAGCCTTGAAAATATCGAATCATCTTCTATAGTTCGAGACAGAACAAACATATGGGTAATGGATCATCTTCTCAACAGTATAATGATGCTACCCTAGCACCCTTGGCACCGTTCCCATATCAGACAGGGCTGATCAAGAGCTTGTGCTTTCCATACGAGATTACTCTCAAACTGAAGGAGCAAGCCGGTTGGGAAAGGTCAGAGGAGTGACCTCAAAATTTGATCCCGGTGTTGATTGTGGAATATTTATTTGCGTTTCAAGGCTCATAGTTTTGCGCGATCTGGCTCACCCTCCAGCTCAATTTCCTTCTTTGCTCGTTCACGCAGCTCCTTCCTGAGAATTTTGCCTGCCGCACTGTTCAAGAAGTCACTTTCGTCAGTGTGAGTAATGGGGAGACAGCAAGCAACCTGACCTCTTTGGAATTGCGTCTATGACGATCACGCCACCTCTCAAATGTTTATGCTTGGCGACCTTTAAAATGGCTCGTAAGAAGGGGAATAAATGTGTTGGTCAGAATTACCTTTGTTGTGATCCATTTGCTGACGGCTTTCTGGAAGGCTTCGACCTCCTTTGGGTCAGTAGCCTTCAAACAGCCAGCTCGTGGAACAATATACGCTCTATTCACGGTAAGTGCTTATTTTTAGTGGTATCAGGTAGAGGACCCACCTTGGGAGTTCGGTTTCTTGTCTCTTGCTATAAACGCCTATAACTCCAGAATCCACAACGTCAGGATGAGATATCAAGACTGCCTCAAGATCTGCTGGTGGGACTGGAGGATGGATCAAAGTTAGAAGGATGGCTAATAATACCATATTTGTATGATTCGCTAACCTTGGAATCCCTTGTACTTGATAAGTTCTTTCTTTCGGTCAACAATAGACCACCATCTATAACGATTTCGATTAGTCGTATTGTTACGGTAATATTCTTACTAGACATACCCGTCTTTATCCACAATTGCTATATCGCCAGTTTGGAACCAGCCGTCGGGAGTGATAGAGTTGACTGTCGCTGTGGCGTTATGCAGGTAACCCTAGAAGGAGGGAAAATGTCAGAAGGGTATCTACAACCTGCTCAGTCTGAGCGGACCTTCATGATGGATGGGCCTCTTAGCCATAACTCTCCTCTTCCACCTTCCGGAGCATCCTCCCCATCGTCTTGTACCAGCCGTGCTTCTATATTCGGCAGAAGGGGTCCAACTGTGCCAGCTTTGGTGTCCCAATGTTGAGCCGGATTGTAGTGAACAGTGGGTGATGTCTCGGTTAAACCATAGCCTATTGACGCCATTAGATGAAATCCACATAGACAGGTCAAACATGCATAATATCAGGACTTACCTTGTACAACCAATGCTTTCGAGCCCAGCTTTCTCAGTCTCTCCGTGACTTCGAACGTCAGGTCCGCACCGAGTGGGGCCGCACCCGATGTAATGAGCTTCACACCCTGTTTGGATAAATAAGGTCATTGAGTTTATATCCTTAGCATAATGAAGTATACTGACGGAAAAATCGAATTTCTCGAAAATGGGATTCTTGGCGAGGAGCAAGATGACTGGTGGTATCATCGGCAAGATCGTAACCTTGTACTTGTTGAGTGCTGCTCCAAACATTGGGACATCAAATCCGCGAATGAGAACGGATGCTCCTCCTTTCGAGATCGGATATAAAAGAACTTTGACCAGCCTGCAGGTAGACGAATATGTCAAAGTCAGAATTTAGGAGAATTCAAGTTGAATAGACTTTGCTAACCCATAGATATGATACCCAGGCAGAAATCCGAGCATCCTATCTTTGCCCGGTTCAAGTTTAATAAACACGGAAGGGAACATGCACATAATTGAGACCAGATTTTTGTGAGTAGTCTATGGGAACAACCATTAGATTGGTATTTGGCAACAAAGATGACTAGCTCGTACCTCAACGCCCTTTGCTAGTCCAGTCGTCCCGCTAGAGTAACACATGAGGCAGGTTTCGTTCGCATAGCGGCCATCAAAAGCCGCTTCCTGTTCGAGCTTTCCAACTTGAACCATCTCACTCAGCATGGTAAAACCGTGAGGGAGATCCGTGGATGGGAATCCTTCGTTCCAGTCTGCGATGACGATTCTCTTCCTTGCCTCCTCCAAAGGCACCTTCATCAGTTTGAACCCTTCTAGCAAATTTG